CTACATAATTGATATTAGGATTTTGGCAGTTTGGGACTATTTTACCCTATTATTATCTTTAGGGATCTATAGTCCTCATGCAGGAAATCATATCAAAATTAAAGAAGACTGATTTAATTTATTTTACTACTAGGAATTGTGTTGGGAGTGTGAATGAAAGGACAAAAAGACACGTTTTGTGTCTCTGAAAATTTCAGATGGTGTGTGAACTTTTTCTAAATTTCATGGGAAATATTATATCTAAACCTTTTATTTTGAAAGGTACACTTTTGCTATACTACCCAGAACTTCATGAAGTTTTGCTAAATATTAACGTGGATAAAATACTTCAAAAGTACGTCTACTTTCCATTTAAAAAATGGCATATACTAGGCTTCCGGTCTTGATTGATGTCATTTCTCATTCATTGCCTTTTCAAGGTAAAGTTTGATTGATGAGGTATTGTACCGCCTGTTTTTCTTTAATTAAGAATAATTATTGTAATTGAGAGGACACTTATTTGCTTACTTTTTTTTTAATGTGCCAAGCATGGATCTAATCATTTTACACACCATATCTCTTTTAATTCTCACAACTTTATAATGAGAGACAGACTTCAATATTGTGATGACATAGATGAGGAATCTGAGGAACATAGGGATTAAATTACTTGTCAAATAATATATCGCAAGTAGTGGGGAGAACAAGGGTGTTGGGTGTTTGGAGTGTTGCAGTGAAGGCACTAATTACTCTACATTTTAAGATGATTATAGAAAAGGCTGTTTCTCAGCTTGGGTATGGTTTAGGTATTAGCAATTCTCTCACTGCACATTTGAATTCCCTAAGTAGCCTTGCTAAAGTCACTGGAATTGTTTCCTAGTCTTTTGATCAAACAAAATCATTTTTAAAAATTGTACTTTAGGTTCTGGGGTACATGTGCAGATCATACAGGATTGTTGCATAGGCACATACATGGCAAGGTGGTTTGCTGCTGCCATCACACCATCACCTATATCTGGCATTTCTCCCCATGTTATCCCTCCCCAACTCACTAAGCCCTGCCGTCCCTCCCCTAGCCCCCAACAACAGACCCCACTGTGTGATGCTCCCCTCCCTGTGTCTATGTGTTCTCAGTGTTCAATACCCACCTGTGAGTGAGAACATGTGGTATTTGATTTTCTGTTCTTGTGTCAGTTTGCTGAGAATGATGGTTTCCAGATTCATCCATGTCCCTACAAAGGACACGAACTCGTCATTTTTTTATGGCTGCATAGTATCCCGTGGTGTATATGTGCCACATTTTCCTTGTCCAGTCTATCATCGATGGGCATTTGGGTTGGTTCCAGAGCTTTGCTATTGTAAATAGCAACACAATGAACATACGTGTGCATGTATCTTTAGGCTAGGATGATTTATAATCCTTTGGATATATACCCAGTAATAGGATTGCTGGGTCAAATGCTATTTCTATTTCTAGATCCTTGAGGAATCGCCACACTGCCACCAACAGTGTAAAAGTGCTCCTATTTCTCCATATCCTCTCCAGCATCTGTTGTCTCCAGATTTTTTAATGATTACCATTCTAACTGGCATGAGATGGTATCTCAATGTGGTTTTGATTTGCATTTCTCTAATGACCAGTGATGATGAATATTTTTTCATATGTTTGTTGGCCTCATGTATGTCTTCTTTTGAAAAGTGTCTGTTTATATCCTTTGCCCAGTTTTGAATGAGTTTATTTGTTTTTTTTCTTGTAAATCTGCTTTAGTTCTTTACAGATTCTGGATATTAGCCCTTTGTCAGATGGGTAGATTGCAAAAATTTTTTCCCATTCTCTTGGTTGCTGGTTCGCTCTAATAATTGTTTCTTTTGCTGTACAGAAACTCCGGAGTTTAATTAGATCCCATTTGTCTATTTTGGCTTTTGTTGCCAATGCTTTTGGTGTTTTAGTCATGAAGTCCTTGCCTATGCCTATGTCCTGAATGGTTTTGCCTAGGTTTCCTTCTCTGGTTTTTATAGTGTTAGGTCTTATGTTTAAGTCTTTATTCCATCTGGAGTTAATTTTAATGTAAGGTGTCAGGAAGGGGTCCAGTTTCTGCTTTCTGCACATGGCTAGCCAGCTGTCCCAACACCATTTATTAAACAGGGAATCCTTTCTCCATTGCTTGTTTTTGTCAGGTTTGTCAAAGATCAGTTGGTTGGTTGTAGATGTATGATGTTGCCTCTGAGGCCTCTGTTCTGTTCCATTGGCCTATATCTGTATTTTGGTACCAGTACCATGCTGTTTTGATTACTGTAGCCTTGTAGTATAGTTTGAAGTCAGGTAGCATGATGCCTCCAGCTTTGTTCTTTTTGCTTAGGATTGTCTTGGCTATGTGGGCTCTCTTTTTGTTCCACATGAAGTTTGAGGTGGCTTTTTTCCAGTTCTGTGAAGAAGGTCATTGGTAGCTTGATGGGAATAGCATTGAATCTATAAATTACTTTGGGCAGAATGGCCATTCAAACAAAATCATTTTTAAATGACTCTGATATTTCATTCTTTTCCCGGAGAATGGGGAGAAGCAGTTTACTGTACACTTCTCTTTCTTGAGAATGACTTTTTTTAAAAATTAACTTTTTATTTTGATATACAATGTCTTCAAACTCACAGGAAAGTTGAAAAAATAAAGATAGTGCTTAAAATACCCTTATACCTTTTATTCAGATTTGTTTATTGTTAACATTTTATTCCATTTCCTTTATCATTTGTGTGCTCTCTCTTTGGATACATGTGAAAAAAAGAACAAAACCTACAATATTTTTTAAGTCATTTAATAGTAAGTTTCATACATTGTGACCCTTTTTCCAAAATACTTCAGTGTGTATTTCCTGAGTTGGAGAGTATTCTCTTGTATAACCACAGTACAGTAATCAAATTTTAGTAGATATAACATTGATGCAATACTTTAATCTTTGGACAATATCCTGATTTTGTCAATTGGCCCAATATTGTTAGTTACAGCATTATTTCCCTTAGGTACAAGATCTGATCGAAGGTCAGGTACTGCATTTAGCTATCCTGTTTGAAGATAATTTTAATTAGCTAGACTTTATTTTTGCTATACTTGAGGAACCATATCCCATGTAGTATATAAACATCTTAAATTAGGCTTCTGACAGATTTTTTATTATTAATTTATATTTTATAATTTCATTCTATTAATTACATTATATGCATGTGAGTTAGACTTTTTTGGGCCATAGTTGAAATTCTAGCAATAGTCTAAAGATACTTATCTACCTTTAATTTTTAAAGAGATTTCTATTTTCTTGGTACCAATTAGTATAATGCAAGGTGACTGAAAAGGTGGAAAACTTCAAGGAGGAAAATGAGATACCGTCTAGTGTTTAAGAGGAATGATTGATGCTGACAAATTTGGAATAAAAATTTTAAATAAATAATCTGGATGTTTTTTAAAAGGCAAGCTGTTGATTTTATCACTTCCCCTTGCCAAGACACACATCGATGCCTGTTAAATTTGACGTTTTTACTCTGATCGTCAATGGCAGCTTTAAAGCATCTGTAGCATCCCAGGATCAAGCAACAAATCAACTCCAGGAAGAGCTGTGAAACCATATCTGCCTGTGCCTCTTTTCTTTCCTGAGAGCCTCTCTCTAGTGGCAAGCCAGTAGCTAATCTGCACTGGAGAAGTTACGACCCTTGTCTTCTTGCGGCTAATGGCAGCCTGTTTGTCTTCTGCACCTTTCTTTCCCTTTTTGAGAACATGGGGCTGAAAGGTAACGAGACCCAACAGGGTCCTAATCATGATACAAATTGTCTACTGAAGTGGTTCCTCAGCCTCCACCAATTTCCTCATTAGGTGACCACAGTTGAGACCCAACAGTCTCTGGTGATAATTTTGAATAACTATTCATATTAAAGAGGCTTTTCACAAAAGGGATAAACTTTTAAGAATTTGGGTCATGATGTTGGAAAGAAAGAATATGTTTGTTTATCATTGTTTAGCAATGTTGGTAATATTGACCATACTTTGCTCTTTCCCTCCCATAGTCCTAACGCACTTCTTTACATCTTGAATCTCTTTGATATTTTTTAATATACTTAGGCTTTGAATATGTAAGTACACAATGAATTAGAAACTTATAACTTGTGTTGATAATCCAGTTGTGTATTCCCATGTATTACAACATATTATACGGACTACTGATTGATGACCCAAATGCCAATCTGAGGCATCTTGTACTTCTTTGGTATTTTTAATATGCTTAGGATTTGAATATGTAGCATACAATGAATTGGAAATTTATGTTTATGATCCTGATTCCTATGTATTACAGACATTGACTGATGTCCCAAACACCATTCTGAAGCTCTAATAGTGTCTAATGTAAACCACAAAATATTGATACATTTCCTCTTATCATGAGTGACATTATCTGATTATCTGACCCCCATGAACCATGGACATCATGGTGGAAATTCATTTCCACCCCATCCTCACCTTATCAAGTCCCTAGCATTCCAACACTATAATGCCTACTTCTGCAGCTGATATTCTGATTTCTAGACCATGCTTGTCAAATATTATGTCTGTTGTCACATTTCCTTGTGATGTGTGTTGCTTTTTAAAAGACTGAAATGCCACTGTGTTTATAGGAAAGTAAGATAAAAGGTGTCCCTGGCTATGGTGATGAGCTTGGAACAAGGACAGCTAAAAAGATGGTGTTTTTAAAGAGGAAATATTAGACTTGGTATATTGCAGGAAAGAACCCACATCTACAGTCTGTTCCTTCTGTAGTTAGTGACAGGCCATATGCCACTCCTACAAAGGGGTTGCTGGAACTCAGATCCCTTTATCTTTCAAACTCCAATGAAGGGGTTTGTAATTGACGTCACTCTGGAGCTTCTACTGCCCTGGCCAGGTAATTTCAGAGATAGCTACATTCCTCAGCAAGGGTATCATACACATTTTTACTCAAAAGTCCAAGTAACTTATTGCATCATCAGGAATCAAAACCACTGGCTTTTTAAAATTTTTTTATTTTTTCACTCATCATTTATTTACAAATACACATTATAACTTTTATATACATTGCACATTTACATGGTAGAAAAGTACAAAACTATATATTTAAATGAATTCATATTTTAACTTGCCATGTTTGAAAATATAAAATTGCATCAGAAAAAAGTATTATGAAAAGCAAGAAACTTGAACTGATAAAGCTTTGATATAACTTTTAGTGACATATTGTTTGAAAAAGAACTAATTAAAAAGGTACAGCTGAGTAGCTTAAAGGAAACACCTAACAAAAGGTTGAATGTGTAGCCTTCACCATCCTTCAGTCTCCTGACACCCACATCATTTCTTTGGATCTGTAACATCTTAGAAGTACACTGCTAGAGTTCTAATCATCTCCTCTGTCACAAATGTCTTCGTCATAACAAAAGAACTGAAGCAGGAGTTTCCTCAAAGATGCTTATCCTCTGTACCTTGTATTTGAGTCAGAGTTTTAATGCCTTTTGGTCAGTCAAGGTTCCTTGTAAACAAAACCCGAGGGATCATGTATGTACAGATCAGGAAGCAGAGAATCCAATAAATAAACATGACAGAAACTGACATGCAAGTTTGCTAAAAGTGGAAAAGAGTCTAACAGTGAAATGAAGGGAGACAGAGGAGTGAGTGAATAGTAAGGAATGGACTTAAATGGTTTACAAGGAAAAAAAGCTTTTACTTTATAAGCAAGAGACCTCACAATAAATAACAACTGCTCTTCCTTTCACGAATAAATTTCTTCAAAAACAAGGTATACAGTCAACCAGACATTTTATGTATAAATTATAAAACATGACACAGTATAAATAAATGTCTACAAGTCTCAACTATAGGCCTCATCCAGTAGACCTCACAAAGAATGCCTCTCCGTGTCCAATGAGTAACAAGGTGGCCTGGGAGAGAGCTTTAGGACAAAGGTCCTTTAATGTATAGTTTTCCCCCCAAATAAATAAGCATACACTTATTTACAGTATAGACAATATATTTTTCTTTTTTTCTTTTTCTTTCTTTTTTCTTTTTTTTCTTTTTCTTTTTTTTTTTTTTTTTTTGCCCAAAGGCTATGCCAACACTGAACACTTGTAGAGAGTTTACCACTCTAGAATAGAAGATATAGGAAAGCTGTAGTCCTGGTCTTCATCTTCCTCCTCTTCCTCGGGGTCTTCCGAAATGGCTAGATGGGGGAATACAGGGGAGCTGTTGTTTAAATATGGACAACAACAGCGCAGAAGCAGCTCAGTGTAAGTGTTCAAAGCCCTCTGATACAGCCATATTACAGCGTTGCATTTTTATGTGACTTGCAGTGAGATGCTTTTTTTTGTTTTTGGCATCTGCTGTTAAGCAATAAGTTAAAAAACATTTTTTTAAACATAATCTATGAAGTCAAAAACTGCAGAAAGTTCTGAAGAATCAATGGCTCAGGTTTTACAGGCAGATTCCTGAAATTAGATAAAAAGCGCTCTTGTGTTCTAGGTATAACTGCTTTGAGTCCTTAATTCAGAGTTAGTAGAGGCAGCTGCAAAAAAGCAGCAGCCCATGTGTGATAATATGAAGCTGTCTTTGGAAAAAAACAAAAAACAAAAAATTTTTGAAGCAGTTAGTTTAGATTCAAATGTTAGTAAAGCAAACAGCAAAGCATACTACGAAAGCAAAAGAAACAGGGGCAAACAACCGGAAATCGATTTTTAGAGGCAGCCCACTGATGATCACTGGCTAAGTCCTAAAAGCCAAGAAACGTTGCAGATAATTTTTCTGTGGATTACTGAATTGCTGGTGATACTCAGCGGCTACCTAACTTGAACAGAAATGGAGTTATGTGGGAGATTTGCTTGCTTTCTAAGTGTCCGTTCCCTAGGGATTGCCCGGGGAAGCCTTAAATGGCAGCAAGGTGAAAAATCGCACTTACAGTTGCAAGATCCGGAGTGCTTTACTTCCAGCAGCACACCTGAGGAGCAGGCAGCTTCCTTCATGGCACACTCACTGGCATAAGTGGCATTGTCACTGGCACAGACAGGCTCATCCGACTTACTGTCAGGGCACTGCTCATCACACAGGGAACACCGGCCTCTCCCAACCTTGAAATCCCATAAACATTTTTTCCCACCAGTGCACTGGATATCTTCACAGGACTTTGCTTCTAGGATATAATACATCTGTGATGAGTAAACTGATTTCTCCACATCCCCCTTTTCTCCCTTTCTCCTAAACATAATTTATATGTTATTACTGATGGGCTAATGGAGCTATTACACAAAAATGCTGGATAATAAAACTGAAACTCAAACGCACACACACACACACACACACAAATCCCCTGCAGTTTGTTACACACTACATTAGTGTATGAAAATAGTATTTTTTTTTTTTTGGAACAGGATGTTACAATATTCTCAAAATATGTATCTTAATACTTCCCACAAGTGGGATCTTTTACAAAAGAAAGAATTCCATCAATTACTAGAATCTGATAACAGATTTCAGGAACTGCTAAGTAATTATTTTTCGCTCCCAGCAAGTCTGGCACTTAAAAAAATGTGTAAAATTGAGTGAGTTCTAAGTTTTCTAAGATGGAATACTGTTTTTTGCTTCCTGCTGGCATTTGAATATATGTGTCAATGCCTCCAGAAGACAACGGTTTCCATGAGGAGTGCTGTGGTCACAACGGTTTCCCCAACTTGCAGTGTATTTCTCCCTATGGTGTTTGGGGATGCCTTGGGCTTTACTTATTAGTTAACACCACAGTTTAACATCAGAACTAGCCTGTTTTCACTTTTTCCTTCCTCAATCCAGAATACCTACTGATACACTTTCCCTCATAGGCTAATCCAATCGATCTGCCCAGCAGGCAGGTAGCCTTTCTCAGGTGGCAGGCACTGGAGTAGGTGACTCCATCATTCCCGCAGATATATTGCTCAGAGGAAGTGGGCTCTGGGCAAATCCGATTACAGGTCACACAGTAGGCGTTATTGGTCTGGTCCACCACACACGTGGAGCTGCCTGGACAGAAAACATCCCGACAGGTCTCTGGAACAAAGAAGGAAACACACATGAATAGGTACCGTCTAGTCCTTAGGGAGTGAGCACTTGAAGTTACTAAGGAAATCATGATACCGAAACATCCAGTTTTCAAAAGACATTTTGGGAGCCCTGTGGTTTTCAACAGAGAATCTATGACTCTAGGTTAAGAACATTAACGCCCTCAGCGTTCTTAATGAGTCTTTAGAGGTTAGAAAAGGACTCCTTTATTTGGTTTCAGTCTTATTATTATCAGGCTCTTACCGTGGACTACACTATCCCCCAGGGGTCTGCTAGAGGGTCTACTTTAGGTACAAAGCTGGAGGAGGGAGACAGATCCAGTCTTGCTCAACAGGGGAGGACCTACTTTTACATCTGCCTTGGTACTGGACTTCCAGTTCTGGCTGATCTTTACATCTCGCCTTTAGGAGCGCACATTCACTGCGGTAAGTTTTCCCATCCAGCCCGCAGACTGGACCCTTCCAGGTGATGTTGGAGCAATCCGGGGCGCAGACGCATCGCGGTTTGTTCTTCTTGTTCATTCGGCATTTTTTCCCGGGTCCACAGTCCACGTTCTCACACGTTTCTGTGAGTTGGAAACAGGCTTGGATTAAAACCAGAGTCAGGCAGTCTGCAGGTCAGCCAGGAGGGCTTCGAATGCCTTGCGCAATCCTGCAGCCCTGAGTTTGCGCTGGAGGGGCCCAGGCTCTCTCCTAGAAGATTGGGAGGTGGTGGAAGAGTGCGGACCTTGGGCTATACCCCATGCCCAGATCTCTCTCATCAAGGAGCACGGGTTGGCGGGCTTCACCACCACACTTGGCTAAGAAGTCTGGGGTGTTTTGCCTACAGCTTTTAACAGGCAGAATTCGAATTTGCAAGGGGAAGAAAGGGCAGAATTCGAATTTGCAAGGGGAAGCCCACAAACAAAGCTCTCCAATCCCAAACCCCAGCCAGGTAGCGGGGAAGCTGAGGGTATACGCCCTCTACTGAGGGCCTGCAAGTCGGGGAGGGACTCCTACCTTTACAGGGGATGCAGTTGGGGGCGCCCCCATTGAAAATCATCCACTTGAAGAGTGTGTTGTCATTCACATCCTCCTCGGTCCACGACGTGCTCAGACGGCCGGTGCTGCAGCACTCCTCCTTGCTCAGTTCGGTCTTGTACAGGACCTGGCAGCGGCCATTCTTGGCTTGACGGAGCCAGCAGTTCCCAGCTGTGAAGAGACAGGGGTGGGGAGGTGGGTGAGTGAGCGGTGGCGGGGCAGGGGGAGAGGGGTGGTTAGTAAAGGAGACCCGGCGGCGGGGACGGGGAGGGGTGACCATGGAGGAGGGGAAGCGAGAGAGACGCGAGAGAAGCGGGAGAAAAGTAGGAAATAAACCGAAAGGGGTGGAGGGGTGGAAAAAGAAGGTGGGGGAAGCCCTGATCCCAGAGGTGGGAGGTGGGCGAAAGGGAGGGAGGGAGAGAGGGAGAAGACAGAGCGCCCCAGCCATATCAATGTCAGTTACCAGTGACCCAGACACAACACGTGCAGCTTGCATTGACTTTTACTAGACTGTTTACTTTTATTCGTCCCATTTCATAACCTGCAGCGACTCGAAGAGCAGATTAAAGAACCTGACAAAAACAGGATGCGACGGATGTTTTTACATGTTGGTTTCATGTAGGTGGTACAGGAATTATTTGTGACAGGGGTTAAGAAAGTAGGAGAACGAGAGAGGAGAGAGAGAGAGAGAGACGAGACGAGACAAGGAGGGAGGGAGGGAGGGAGGGAGGGAGGGAGGGAGAGAGAGAGAGAGAGAAGCAGATCAAGCAAAAGGCACTTGTGAAAAATGAAAGCAAAAAAAAGCAGCCCGGCCCAGCCCGGAGCTACCCCGCGCGGCCTGGAGGCGCAGCCCGCCCGACGGGCCCGTTTTGCAATCCGCCAGACCCGGAGCACGCCTGCGGCCACCGCGATCTTTCGAAATCTCCGAGCGCAGCTTTCCTCCGCGCCCACGTCCAGGCACCACGCAGCGCCTCTCCCCGAAAGGCGGGCAACCCAGCGCAGTGCCGTGCAGACGGCGAGGGGCAGTACCCAGGAGCGCAGTATACAACACACTTAAAATGTTAACGCTGAAGCAGGGAAAGTAATGCCTTAGAGGGGGGAGGTTTCCTACCATTTCACGGTTATATGTGCCTACCTCATACCTAGCAAGAAATCTTTGCAAGTGATTTATCCCTCTTTCACCTTTTTAAATGTTCGGATTTGGCTCGGGAAGACCTCACGAATCACCAATAAGACTTTAACAATCATTGGATCGTAAGCTGCTATTATTATTTTAAACATTCTGCCCAAAGACTAATTGAAATAAACAAATCTATTTTAAAAAGGTAAGCTTCAGAAATTTGCTCTTAGCCCATTTCAGAATTCAAGTCAGTTATGGGCTGCTCACTGTTTTACAGAAGGCTAAGAGTCAGAAAGAAGAATGAGGCAGAGGGAAAAAAAACCCTGTAAAGTGCTGAAAGCACTTAGGGGTAATAATTTGGCTTTTTTTTTTTTTTTCTTTTGCGGAGATGGGGGATGGGGTTGGAAGAAGCATCCACTAGACAGAAAGCTACTTCCCTTGAAAAATTTCAGCACCCATATTCCCAAGTTTGGGCAAAGTTTCTGAAACCACGTCCCCCAGCCTCCGAAGAAAATTCAGTATATCTCCCCCAACTCCCAGGTCCCTCCCCCCCCTTTTCTTAAAGTATTAGAAAGATCTGGGAAGGAGAGCGATGAAACTGCAAATGGGTCCACTGAAATCTCCAGGATACTACTGATACTTGCTCCCTTCTTCAGACCCACAGAGGAGATCACATTTAAAGTTATGGCCAGAACTTGGTGCATCTAACCCTAACTACTCAGACCCCAGCTCGCTCCCTTTCCTTTTTCAAGATAACCGAGCTCCAAACTCCGTTCCCAGTCCTAAAGTGTCATTGCCTTCAATTTTCCCACTCCTCTCCATCCCGGAGTCCCCAGGTTGGTCCAACATCTTCCGAGAGTAGCGTTGCTCAGAACAGATCAAGTGGAGACCTCAGAAAAGTCGACCCCCTTGCCCTCAGCCGAGCCTCCCCAGCGCATTTCCCCTCGCTTACCCTGGGCACTGCGGTCCTCCATGAACTGGCAGAGCAGCAGCAGCAGGAGGCAAAGCCCACCGGGCTGGTGCCTGGCGCGGACCATCCTGGGGGCAGGCTCAGGGCGAGTAGCGCGGCGGTGCGGGGAGCCGGCGCGGTGGCGGGTGGCTCGGGTGAGCGGCGCGCGTCGCAGAGGCCAGCGGCTGAGGGCGCAGCGATCCCGGCGCAACCCCGCGCTCGCCGCCCGCCGCCCGCGCGATTCAATGGACGTCAGAAGCCGGGCGCAGCCGCGCTTTAAATCTAGACTGGGGTCTCCGCGGTTTGCGGTGGGCGGTCTCCCAGTGTGTGGGGCTGTGGGAGGGCGGCCGCGAGCGAGGGTGTGTGCGGCTCCTTGGGGGTGGGGAGCTTTTAAAAGTTCAGTGTGAATCAGGTGACATTTCCCACCTTCTGGAAACCCTTTCCAATTATCTTTCGGAGGTGCCCGAAATCAAAACGGCTAGAGGGGAATCGCCGAGTTCTTATTTGCGTAGGAGCGAGAGGGAGGGGGAAGTCGACTGGGGCGGGAGGTGGGGGCGACGCATCGGGGGTGGGGAGTGGGGAAGAACACCCACTTCAAGTTCTGCTCGCCGCCGCTCGCCGGCAGCGCCGGCGCGCCCGGGGTGGCGGGTGTGTGTGTGTGTCTGTGTGTGAGTGTGTGCGCGCGCGAGTGTGAGAGGGAGGGCGCGGTGGGGCCGCTGGAGGCGACGGCGGGGGGAGCTGGAGGAACCCGGGAGTTTGTCTCGGGGCTGGCGTTCCTCCGCTCCAAAGAGACTTTGCAAACGCCCGGAGAGCCCCGGGCTGCCCAAATATCCCGCCCCAGGTCTGGTCGGAGCGCGCCGGCCTCGCGGCAGTTCCCGGCCCCCGCAGCCTGGGCGCGGGGCCCGCGGGGTTTTGTGTCTGGGTCTGTGCGTGCCTGACTTTGCGGCCACCCCCAGCTCAGAGTTGTTGCTAGGAACCCCGGCCCCGGCACCTTCCACCCTGGCGGAGCGCTGCCCAGACGCAGCCCTTCGTCTGGACGAGTCAGAAGCAAACAAAAATGTTTAACACCTCAGGCCCGGTCTCCCCCCGGCACAGTCTCGCCCTCTCCCTTTCTTTTCTCCCCTTTCACTTCGCAGCGTCTGGAGTCGGAGCCCGGAGCGGGGGCGCCGACGTAGGCGGTCTGGCCCCCCTTCCTCTCCTGCCCGGAGACTCCCCAGTTTCTGTCCTGTGTGCCTCTCTCAGTCTCCTCGGCTCCAGTCTCAGTCTCTCTCTCTCTCTGTCTCTCTCTCTCCTCTCTCTCTCTCTCTCCCCTCTGTGTGTGTCTCTCTCTCTCTTTTTCTCTCGTCTTCTCTCTTTTCGCGGAATAAAAATGATTGCAACACCCATAATGAACTTCTGTAGCCTCAGTTTATTAAGTACAGTGCCTGGCATTCTTTGCTGAAAGTTGGCGGGTCTCTCATTTATAACATTTTTTGGCACCGCTGAATGAAACTGAGGAGGCGATATTTCCTTTTATATAAAACGATTACTTCACGGAAAATGCTATATTGTTTGTTCTAAAGCTGCCTCTTAAATTTCTGTTCTTTTCGCTTCTGAAGCCCGAAGGACAACAGACAGCGAAGTATGCAGACAAAATTCTTGGACATTCGCAGGTCACTGAGATTTGTTCTCCTACGGATTTCAAATCCGCCCTTCTTCCCCCTCCCGCCCCCCGCAACTCCCCTCCCCCTGCTAGACCCTCCCCCAGTCTTCCTCTCGCCCTCCCACCCCCCATCTTCCAGCAACCTTCTCCCCTCCGCAACTGCAAATAACTCAGTGATAACAGATTTTTTTCCACCAACTGCAGGAGATAGTGCTAATCTTTTAATAAAAGATCCCATTACAATGGGATCTGTCTGGACAGACTATAATAGATCCCGAAATACAGCCGTGCTAATATTAGAAGACAGTTGTTTGGGTGCCTCTCAGACGGGCCCAAGCCCCCCTTTGAAAGTGGGCATGAATCACAAAGCCCCGCGGCCGCCGCACCTGCACCGCGCGCATTCGGTGCAGCAGGCTGGTAAAAACGGGTGACCTCGCCGCCGCTTTTCGCTTTATAATTACCGTCGTGAGGACGGGAGGGGAGGGGCTCGGGCGGCCCGGGGGAGGCTGGCTTTTTGCTCACTTCAGACGGCTGTGGGGGCTCCACATCCTTCTTAATCTTTCCAGAATCATTTTGTCTCTGTTTCTATCTCGCTGTCTGTCTCTCTCCCCTTCTTTCTTTCCCTCCCTTTCTCTCACCCATTCCCTCTGCTCTCTTTCCCCGACTCCTTCCCCTCTTCTCTCCTTCCCTCCTTCTACCCGGACTCTACCCAGACTCGCCCTCCCTTTTCTCCTTCTCTTTCTTTTCCCGTCTCCTTTTCTCTCTTCCCTCCAACTCATTAATGTAGAGTTGTTTAGTGCCCTCTAATGGCAGACGACATTAACAATTAATAGAAAACTGTCCCCTTTGCAGGAGCCGCCACTCAATGGCGGAGTTCCAAAGCTGAATTTATTTCTTCTTCTTTATTCAGAGAGATGGTATAGTGCTTATACAATGATGTGCTGGAGGGAAAGTTTGTTTTCTCTGCTTCAAGGTTCTCCCCACCCCCACCAGGAAAAAGTTAAATGAAAGAGAAGTTAACAAGTATTGTTACTTGACTTTTTCTCCCCGCCTCTTTTAATAGCAGCAAGAGACACAGCTTCTTTCTTTGTTAGGGCAAACAGTATATCTAAGATTGAAAAATAAACATTCCAAATGCATAAAAGATCTTAAGATGGTAAGTGGTTGGATCTTATGGCAATGCTGTCAAAGTTCATTCATACATAATTATGTGATTTTATGTTTGTCCTTAGTTTAGATATATTTATTGATCCTGAAATGGCCAGTAGCCTCTGGAAGCTGGGGTCGTTTTCTTAGATTTTCCACCCTAGAACTATCCAAAATATTTAAATTTTACTTACATGCCCAGTTGTATATGAAGTCATCTTGCCTGGAGAAATACAGAGTCACATTTTAGTCCATATTTATTTTCTCAATATCTTTGGGAATATTGTTTTAAAGTTCATAATCTCATCATATTTTATAACCTTATAGCAAAGAGAACATAATATAACTTGCATGTTCTTTTTAGATTTTAATTTTGTTCATTCATATATGTACATATAACATGTTGATATAAAAGGGTCATACAAGTATACAAAAAGATTACCTTTTGGGGAGGAGGTTATGTAGCTAAGTGAAAATTAGATTAGAAGCAATTTGGAGGGGCTAATCAAAAAACTTGGATGTTTGAGCAAAACTATTTGGTTTATCCAGATAGTTATTTTAGTTTATATGTATAGAAACAACTGATGTCACAAAAACTTTCTAAATCAATTTAAGTTGTAACCTCACAACTGCAGTTTGATTGGGTAAAAGTTAAAATTCCTTCCTATTTCATTTTTTGTCTATGTAATGCCAAATACTCAGACCAGTCATTTGACTAAATTGACTGCATTGACTAGTTGTTTGGCATCAGGCAATTGTCTTGGCTAAGCCAAAGCAGACACAGTAGCTCTCATTGTAAAAAATGCCACCACTCAGCGGAGTCCCTGAGTACCAGAGGCTGACCCAACACAGGATTACTTCTGTCCCAGAGAAGGTGGCCCTGCAGGTCAGGGCTGAGGTCACCGTCAAACACACGGTGGAAAACACAAGTGCTGTGTGTTGCTTTTGCCCTTGTGAATAAGCAGCTTGGTGTTTGTTTAATGATACAAGCTCATCCTGTTTTTCAGCTGCACCTTGGATAGTATTGATCTGTTTAGGAGAATGTCTGCTTCAAATTAGCACAGATCGATCACCATGACTGCTGTCATCCAGGGTTATTTTCTGATCATAACTGAGGAAGTGAGACATAGGTCAATACTGGTTCCATATGGGCTTTCTATGGGCATCAGCAAGAGATCCATCCCATTTCTGTGGTATGAAATGGTACCACACCTGTTCAGTGATGTCACAGGAAAACAGCTGCTATTTCTTTTACTGTTACATCGTCTGTAAATGTTAAATATTGGGTTTGTGGATATCTAAATGTCAAGGGGACATTTTAAAATAAAAATGTCGCCTTTCATTTTTGTTGTATGCCTCCAAGTTTGACTTCTTATTTTTTTCTTTTCTGCTCTGCCAAAAAGAAATGTAAATTATGAGAAACAATAGGACCACTTTGTAACTGAATTTCTGGGCAGCACACAAAAAGACTACTGTTTTCTGATTGGTCTTCTGTCAGCTTCAAAAACTATCTTCCTTCTGAAGTTTATAAATTTAAAATATTAGAGTTTAGCAAATGATTCAATCTAACTCCCCAGATAGCTATTTAAGCTCATATGATATTGTTGTTTGAGACCAGAACTGACCTGGTTAAATTTCAGTACCTAAAAAGAGAATATGGAGGGAGTGGGGTGAGGTTATGTGGGGAGTATTTGAAAGTCATGAACTGAGTAGCTTTTTTTGTTTTGTTTTGTTTTTTTTTTTTTTTGGCCTTAAAATTAAATGTCAAACTTTTCTTGACGTTAGGTGTTTTGCAAAATGAATACATTTTCAAATGCAAATAATCAATCTTGATTAAACAATGAAAGTTAAGCATTTGACAAATAGGCTAACATGATTTTAAAATCAGATTTCGTTCTAGGTACAAAGCAGTTACTTAATGTGTCATAGTCTTTGGCATTATGCAACTTCACAGGCTAGCATAAAGATTTGAGTAGGGGGTGGGGGGCGATAGTTCTGTACTGGTTGAATCATTGCCGAACTAAAAAGTAAAGAAATGTGAGTACATAAAGCAATGTTTACTCAAGAGATCCAAACTACCAGTTGATTAAGATTTCTAAAAAATCATTAGAAAATGTTTTCTTGATGTAGTACTAAGAAAACAATGGGTTACTTGAACTTTTCTCGGGGTTGTTTTGGTGTAATACAGAGCTGATCAATCATGGCTAGGTCTTCCTTTTAGATACTCCTTGTTTCTTTGTAATTTTTGCCTTATTTTCCCCTTTAATGTTAGAAATGTTTTTGAATTTCCGGAAGTCAGCTAAGCTACTTGTCATATATAGTCACTTAAACTAGCCATATCAATATATTCAAGTTCAACATAATTAAACAATTAAAATAAATCTTAGTGAATAATTCAAATTATGCCTTAGGATGGGAATGTTACATTGGATTAATAGAAAATTCTAAAGTGTTTTAGGTCACTTTGACAATATAAATGATTCATGTATTCGGATATGACTGAAAATGCTATGTGTGACCTTTAGCACTTTTAACCTTGATTCCATTTACACTTTCAGCTGCATAGAAGGTGTGAGGAGGGCAAACCAGGAATTGCTGTTCAGTTTCCCCTACTTTATGTTGGAAACAACATGCCAATCAAAAAGAGCCACCTTTCTGGATTA